CACCAAAATAGATTATTTCCCAGTTCTCTGGAAGATGAAGGGTGAGTAGAAGTCAGTCAAGAAAGGAGAGTGTTTCTCATATCATGTGTGGTGGTTTGAATATGCTTGGCCCATGGGAAGTGGCACTATTAGGAGGTGTGACCTTGTTAGAGGAAGTGTGTCACTATGTAGATGGGGCTTTTAGGTTTCATATATATGTTCAAGCCCTGCTCTTGTGGAATACAGTCTCCTGCTGCTGCCTTTGGATCAAGATATAGAACTCTTGGCTCCTCCAGCACCATGTCTGCCTGCATGTTGTCATGCTTTCTGCCATGTTAATGGGCTGAACCTCTGAAGCTGTTAGCCAGCCACAATGAAATGTTTTCCTTTATAAGGGTTGCCTTGGTCATGGTGTCTATTCACAGCAATGGAAACTCTAACAAAGACGCCATGTTTTCCTTTCTCCCATTGGCTCTATTATATTAGCTACCGTGTGGCCAAAGGATGACAGAGCAACAAGATTGATGGATCATAAAGGGAACTGTCACATCACACTCACACTGGGTTAAAGGTCTCATCAATCTATTAAAGCCACTCATATGTCAACTAGGACAAACTAATGACTATTACACTTAAAGTCATTCAAAGCATGAGGTGCATGCTGCCAATTTTAATAGTGAAATCATCCAAAATATACTAGGATGAAGATGTATTCCAAGATATAATTCATTTTATAAACGGGTGTATCTTTCCTTCCTATTGTCTATTTTGTTTGTTTGTGCTGAGACAGGATTTTACTAGGTAGTCCTGGCTAGCCTGGAACTGGTCATGTAAACCAGGCTGGCCTCAGACTTATTGAGAGCTGCCTGCCTCAGCTCCCCCAATGTTAGGGATTAAAGTCATATGCTGGATATATACATAAAACTATATTTCTATCAGTATGTGTGTGTGTGTGTGTGTGTGTGTGACTATGAATGCCAACATATACGTACAAGTGGAGATCAGAGGACAACTTGAAGGATTCAGTTTCCTCCATCACCATGGAGGTCCATGGTTTCAAGTTGGGTCTTCAGGCCCGGTGACAGGCACCTTTATGCACTGATCTCATCTTGCCAGCCCTCTTTCTACTGTTCTATAAACACTTGTGTTATACATTATGACAACCTGGTGGCATGATCCTAAGATTTACAAAGCAATAACATCCAGAAAGACTGAGGGGCTAGGGATGACAGGGAAAGTTGAGAGGGCTTGAAAACAAGGCACTTAGTGGGAGGCTTGTACCAGAGTAGCCAGGAGCCTTCTCGTCCCAAGACGGTAGCACCCAACCACCTCTGAGTTACCCTCCATCTCTGCTCCTCCCATGAATGCCTGGCCTTTTAAAAAAGACTCTGGTAGGGTAGTGATGGCACATGGCTTCAATCTCAGCACTTGGGAGGCAGAGGCAGGTAAATCTCTGTGAGTTTGAGGCCAGTCTGATCTACAGAATGAGTCCAGTTCAGCTAGGACTTGTTATACTGAGAAACCCTGTCTTGAAAGACCAGGAAAAAAAAGTTTAAAAAGTTAAAATAAAATAAAGACTTTTATGTCTTTAAATCTACTTCTAGGCCATGAATATTTTCTTTATCTTTTCATCCTGGAAAGACCTTTTTCTGTATCAGCTGCCCTCCCCCTCCCCCCACTCCCACCCCATTAGCACTGGAGTCTATTCCAGCTTTCAGCTACAATTGTACCACCCAGATCTTTCTCCTGTAAGCCACCACCCATTGACAATGCAAAGGAGCAGGGAGAGCAAGCGTTAGATGTTAGAACAGAAAGGATTTCATCTTGGACAGCTTATCTTGTTTCCTGTGTTTTCTTGGGGAGAAAAGGGATGAATGTCTATTTGGTGTGTGTGTGTGGGGGGGGGTTTGGATGAAAATGCACCCCCTGAGGCTCATAGCGAGTGGCGTGGGGTATGGCCATGTTGGAGTAGGTGTGGCCATATTGGAGTAGGTGTGGCCTTGTTGGAGGAAGTGTGTCACTGGGGGTGGGCATTGAGGTTTCAGATGCTCAGGCAAGGCCCAGTCTCTCTCCTCTCCCCCTCCCCTCCCCCTCCCCCTCTCCCTCTCCATCTCCCTCTCCTCCTTCTCCCTCTCTCTCTCCATCCCCCTCCTCTCTCCTTACTGTCTGTTGATCTGGATGTAGAATTCTCAGCTCCTTCTCCAGCACCATGTCTGCTTGCATGCCCTCATGCTTCCTGCCATGATCACAATGGAGTAAACCCCTGAACTGTAGGCCAGCCCCAATTAAATGCTATCATTTATAAGAGTTGGTATAGTCATGGTGTCTCTTCGCAGCAATATAAATCTTAACTAAGACAGTTAGACCATTGCTGTTAACAGTAGATAGCTAAGGCCTGTCAAGCACACAGCGCAACTTCTAATATGAAGCAAGATTCCCAGAATATGTAGCTGTCATCAACCACGATCACTCTTCCTGCCTTTCTTCCCTGGATAGGGACCTATTCAAAGGATTTCAAACACTTGGCTACGTGAATAAATTCTCTTCTTCACTTCCATATGCCAATTTATTTCCGTCATCTTCAAATGCTTTGCCTTGAGTTCATCTGTTCCTTTCAGAAACTCACTAGTTTCTTGTTATCTCCAGGTTTAACTAAATTGACCTTACTGCCAGTGCTAACACCTCACTAGTACACTTTTTAAAACATACACTTGTCATGGAACACAGCGTATACAAAAAGCACAAGCCATAACTATAGAGCTTGGTGAATTTTCAAAACTGAAAAATACATTCCCACAAATCATCAGCAAAATGAAAAAAGAGAATATTAACTTTTTTTTGGTCACCACCCCTTCCCCAAATGAAATCATTTCCCTAACTAGGAATACCAGAGATTAGCTTTTTGTTGTTGTTGTTCTGCATTGTATAGTAGTGAAATGAGAACTCTTGTACCTGGCTTCTTTTGATAAATATTACTTTTATGAGATTCACTTGTTGTGTTGTTTGTATCTGTGGGTTATTACTTCTCATTTCTATATAATGTATGCATTTATCCATCACTTCACAAATGCATTGTTACGGATGTATTTACCCATCACTTCATTGGTGAATATGTGGACATCCTCTTGTCTCCAGCCTAAGAGCAATGACAAGCAATGTCTCACTGAGCCTTCCCTCCATGGTTCACACTAGAAAGAGCTGAACTGAAGAATGCTAGGGTTCTAAGGTCTACCCCTACAAATTCATGCTGAAATTAGTTGAAATTATTGCTGTTTCAACAGTATTAAGAGTTAAAACCATATAAGATACAAGAGGTCAGGTGAGCCCTAGGCCTGCTAGGACTACTTAAAAAGAGTCTGTCTCAAACAACAAAGACCCATAGCTGAACATTCTCATTCAAAAGAGGCTATCTTTACTATTTGAAGTCTTGGACACATTCAGTATGGTTTTATATTGTAGTTACCTATTTCTACAGTTTGATTTTTAACAGCAAGTCAGCAGGTCTTAATCTAATTATAACATTAGTAACAGCTACTCTGCTATCTGGAACACGAACCAGAGAAACACACATTAGGAGTGAAGTGGCACATGACTCTGGGCTAACAACTTTAACCAAAGTCACTCTGCCTGGAAGGGAAAGTCTGACTCCCAGCATGATCTCAGGGTTACTACTTAAGCCTTTCTCTGCTCCAGTTTAGCTTGTTTGTAGAACAGGGATGAAAACAGTACCAGCCTAGGTGCTTGGGAAGTCCACAGAGAGCAAAAGGTTTGGAAGAACCCTGTCTTCTTATGGCATATAATTTAGTGGGGCAGACACACAAAAGCAATGGAAGTCAAAGAACAGATTAACGGTGTCTTAGTTTCCTTTTCTGTTGCTGTGATAAAACACTCACTCTGACAAAATCAACTCAAGGCAGCAGGAGCTGAAAGCAGCTCATCACACTGCATTCCAGTCAGAAGGCAGAGGGCCATGCATGCATGCTACTTCTCAGATCTTTCTTTACTTACTCAGCCCAGGATCCCAGTGAAAGAACAAACGGGACCACCCACAATAGGTATTAAGTCTTCCTACCTCAATCAGTGCTGTCAGGATAATCCGCAAAGGCCTGTGTGTCCCAGGTAATTCTAGATTCTGTCAAATTGAGGCTACCCATCTAAGATGGTGTAGTATTAGCAATCTACAGCTATGTAACAAATGATCAACTTAAAGCAAGAAACACCGCCTCCTCTAGTGTCTCCAGTTAAGAACTGGGAGCAGCAGCTTTCTTGGGTTGTTTGGGGTTTTGCCATGCAGATGCAGTCCATGTGCTGGCTAGGGTGGCAGTCACTTGAACACTCAACTATAGTTGGACTATCGGAAGGTATACCTAAGGGTGAGTCGGTGTGGCTGGTGACCACCACAGTAATCCTGGGGAGTCCCTCTAAGTCTTGATTTGATAGTGAAATGTCCTTTATGGACTCGTGGGCTGGATCATTTAATTCTCAAGCAAGTGGCATTGTTTTGCGTGGATCCTTTCCTGTCCCCTCTATGCTTTCTGGTCCACAGAAATGAACAAGCATCCATATGCTCCCACTATCAGAGCCACGAGTCATCCTTACTTACCATCATGCCTTTCCGTCCATACTGGCCTATTCTCTCAAACCGAACCAAATTCCTCCCTAGGCTGTTCTGATCAGATGATTATTTGGTCACAGAAGTGAGAAAAGTAACTCACCAAATTGACCCTGAGAATTAGGGTCATTGTTACTGCTGGGAGAAACCTGACCATACTTCGTAGGTTTTTAGAAGGAAGAATTCGGAGCTGGGGGCTAGAGAAGTCGTAGAAGGCTGTAAGCTGAGCTTAAGGGGTGAGCTCAGTAGGACTTAGGAAGAAAGAGAAACAGCCAGGAAGGCTGTGATCATGAGGTTTCAGGGACCAGTCTTGTAAAGAAGTCTGGCAAAGAAACTGACTTCAGTTTGGCTTTGTCCTGAAAATCTGTATGGGGGAATTAAACTCTAACGGCCTGGTTTCTTCTGTGGCATGGATGTACTGCTGATTGCTCTTGGCCAGATTTCCAGTGAGAGTGAGCAGGAAGTAAAGCCCAATGGTATAAAAAAACATGCCGTTTGGTAATGAAAAGAGGGAGGGACTCTGGAAGTTGAGATTAAGGCAGGTGTGGATGTAGTGTCGGTTAATGGGTCATGAGATTCGTGTGATCCAAGAGCCATGCCTCCTATACACACACTTCACAAAGACAGTAAGAAAGATGCTGTAAAAACAAGACTCTGCCCCCACGAGAGCACTAGGGTATAACAATGCAAACCTGGTTTTAAGAACTTTCCCTTGAGAGGGTTTTTCGGAAACATAGAAGAGACTGGGAGAGTTGGAGCAGGAGCTGAAGGACTGTTGTGAATTCTGGGTGCCCTCTGAGGAGAAAAGGGAGGATGTCACTGCTACATCAGTGCCACTCTGCTTCCCTTCTGTGTTATCTTCAGTGCCTGATGACATTGCCAGCTCTTCCCGTCCTCCAACGTCTTACATCACTTCCCAGGAGATGAAGTGTATTCTTCACTGGCTTGCCAGTTGGTCAGGTCCCCAGTGGGAACATTTTCTACAAGACCTGGTAGCTAAGGCAGTGTTGGGAATGCTACAACCACTGCTGGATGGTCTGGAACAGCTCAGTGTATCTGCGGCAAATCGACCACCTTGTATCTTTGAGTATCTTTGGGATCAGTGGTTTCGAGGTTGGGCTGAGCAGGAGTGCAATGAATTTGTCAGGCAGATGGAGGTTAGTGAGCCAGATTTCGTGTTGAAGTTTTACCAAGCTGTGGCTGCTACTGCTGGTAACGACTGACAGGCATTCAGATCAAGAAAAGAATGACATGTGTTCAAGCCAAGGCCATGACTGTAGTGATGATTCAGTGCAAGTGTGTCACTTAAAGATTCACCTGGAATGCCAGGGTAGTGGTCTGCCTTTTATTCCAGCACCCAGGAGGCAGCCTGGTCTACATAGCAAGTTCCAGGCTAGCCAGCACTACAAAGTGAGACCCTGCCTTTAAAAAATATTTTTTTTTTGCACGAACTTCCTGTTGAATGCTAGCACTGTCTTACCCTAGCAGTATGTCACCTGGACTCTCTCCCATTTTAGCAGATCTGATCATTTACAGGAGATGTCTAAATCTCAATTTAACGACCACTTTTGTTACTATAACTAAAAGGAACTGGTATCTTGTAACTCAAGCCTACAGCTGGCCCAGATGTGGCTGCTTTGGCCACATTCACTCAACTCTAGCATAATTATGTGATTTCCCAGCGATGATTTAATAAAATTAAGGAAAACTGAGAGAAAGGAATAATTATTCATTATTCACATTGTTTGACTCCGAGCAGCAATGAAAATCAGGTAAGTATTAAACAAGAGGAACCTTTTCTAAAGCATATGCGACGTCCTTGGGGCTAGTGGCAAATATTCCTGGTCTGCTGTTGGTCTGCAAATTAAACTGTTGATTTGGGGGAGAGGGTATCAAAATAAAGACTAGATTAAAAAAAAAAAAAGAACTTTCACTTAAAAACTTGAAATAGTGCTCCTGAACAAAAAAAATGTTCTGGTCAGCTGAAAGTGTTTTGTTGTGTTCAGCAGGGCAGGGATAGAGAAATGTTACTGTAGAATGTGGCACAAGAGGGCCAGGTTATCATCTGGCAGTGGAACTGGTCATTGTCTATGTGGTGCTGTTTCTGTAGACACACAGGATGCAAGCCCGAGGGCAAACATTATGGGAGATTGAGCCACTGTTCCCCACGAAGCTGCCCAAGGCAGGCAGTGTGTGACAGGCTGAGACTCCTTGCTTGGAGCTTGGTGTATACAGCTACGAGGGTGAAAGCTAGGATGCACTAGAGATCTTAGGATACATGGGATGCCAGAAACACAGAACATCTACCAACAAAAACTAATGACATTGAGCACAGCTGATCCAAGGGAACAGGCATTGTGCTGTGGGCTGCATGGACAGTGCTAGCCAAGCCTGTTGGAGCCCAGATGATGCCATGATGTTGGCATTCCAGCTGCTAGACATGGAGCCCCAGGTTTGGTATTGACCTTGTCAAGTTTCAGTCTTGCTTTGGTCCAGTATTTCCTTGCTACTTTCCTTTTAGGAATGAGAATTCTATTGTGCCTCTGTACACTGAGAACTATATTACAGGAACTTGCACTGGTAGTTTATCTTTATAACCTCGTTGGGATTGTTAATTCTATAAGGATGCTAGAAGTTGCTCAGTGGACTTGGTATTATGAGATGGCCGAGCCCATGAAAACCAAGTATGAATGTCCTGGCTTGAGCATATGTGTTTCAAAACTCAGTCCCCAGCTGTGGCTCTGTTTTGGAGCATTGTGAAACTTTTGGAAGGTGGTGCCTAGCCAGAGGAAGTGGCTTGAGGGTTATAACCAGGTCTCACTTTCTGTCTTTTCTCTGTTTTCTGATCTGCCGAGATATGAGAGGCAACAACGTCAAACTCCTGTCACCACGGCCACAGATTCCTGCCACATAATGGCTCTCAAACTGTGAGCCAAAATGCATGATTCACTAAGTTACTCTTGTTAGGTATTTAGGTCTTGCTAGGAATTTGTGGTACATGGCAAGAGAGAAAAGCCAGCTTTACAGAATTCAATCTTGGTTGTCAGTCATTTCTGAAACATCCTCTTAGCTATTGTATTGGAATTTTTCAGGGAAACAGCACTGATATAAGAAATAAATGCCATCTGTCTGTCTGTCTGTCCGTCCGTCCGTCCGTCCATCCATCCATCCATCCATCCATCATCTATATATCCATTGCCCTACCTACCTTTCTATCTAGCTCACACAGTTATGGAAGCAAAAACAAACAAACAAACAAAACAACTCATGATCTATCATCAGCAGGCTGGAGAACATGCGATGGCGTTATTCAATCCTAGTCTGAAAGTCTGAAGATGGGGTCATGGAGGGGGCACAATGGTAAAAATCCGTACCTGAGCCCAAAAGCCTGAGAGCCAGGTGTGTCTATAGCAAGTACAAGGCAGAAAGTAATGGATGCCTCCACTCAGGCAGGAGAGGAATTCGACCTTCCCCAGTCTTCCTGTTCTATCTCAAGGGACTCAATGATGCCAGCCCAGGCTGAAAAGGGGAGATGTCCTTCACTAAGCCTTCCAGACACAAATGCTAATCTCAGCATTTAGTGGTTCAGTGGAGACATTCTCAAATGCTAATGCAATCCAGAAATAGTGTTTTATCAGCTGTTTGAGCATCCATCTGCAGTGCACTCAGTTTGATACACAAAACCAACCAGCACAATTAAGTAGGCCATTCCTATGTAGTGTGGGAATGAGCTGCAAGCAAATGAACACCAAGTCATAAGAAGCTCCAGGAATGTCTTTGAGGCTGTCAATCTCAGGTACTTCAAAGTGCTAAAGACTTGAGATTGAGGTCAGATAGAGCCAATAGGAAACCCAAGGTGCCTGTGACATATACAGTGTTGACACACCCAGAACTCCCAGCTGCCCTCTCCTTGGGCTCCTTTCAGCATTAGCTGTACCTCTGGTAAAAAGGAAACCTCTCCTTGATGCTACAGGTCAGTGTGTATCCACAAGTTTCCATGCAGATTATGTACTGTGATAAATGTATCACGTGCTAAGATGAATGAAAAACAACCCCATGTGAACACAATCACGTGACTATTTCCTATGGTAATTTTCTATTACTAACCCAGGTTTGGTAACGTTGTCCCTTGCTAGCACTCACTCACCAACTTCATAGGCCAATTATGGCAAGACAAGAGGACAATGAGGCTGTTTACTACATGTGTAATGAATCCAGGAGGGAGAAGCTGGCCCAAATGCTCAGCCAACCCTAGGTTCTGTGGCTGTACACAGCTTTCAAGATCTGCCGAATCCCAAGGAACGTAAGCTGCTCCAACACCTGGTCCTTTTTCTACATCACTCTTCCTAGCCTCCACTTACAGCTTTTGCCTCAAAGATAGTTATCCATTGATAAGCTGTGTCATCTGTCCCTTTCTCACTGGGCACCACTGATCCATTTTTTTTTTAATGGATCAACTCTCCTGGTTTCTCCTCAAAATCTAAAATAACTCATGAAAACAATCACATACCTAACACAGACGCAGATGATGCAAGAAGACAATGTTCTTCTTGACCTTGTTTTAAGCCAAATACGACTCCTGTTGTCCAGATGGATTTGTGCGGTAGCATGCTGAAAACCATCCATAGGAGTTTTCAGCCATATGCGCTTATTAGATACATGCGTTTGGTCTGTAACCTTACACAGCCATGCAGAGTGGAACACTTGCTTTTTAGTGGCAGCATTGATTTTTCAACACTGCAGCAAATTCTTAAAAGCTTCTCAACAATGAAAGCAATCCCAAAATAATAACTATTTGTGAATTCACCTGTTTGTGTAAAAACATTCTTACATCTAAGTTGAGATACTGTCCCCTGAAACAGAGTTCCATTTACAAGGGCAGGGAAAAGTGATCTTGGTGGATTTAGAGGTTGCAAATGTTTTGAATTCAGTTATAAGTTTCAAGATACAACTGGGAAGGAATCACAACGCAGCTGTTTTATTTTTAAAACCATCCCATTTTTCATCACTTTAACATAAAATAAAATTTAGCGACACATTGAAATAAAACAAAGCTCTTCAAGACAGCAAGGCTCCTGCTGTTAAAGAGCCTCTTCCTGGGAAGATGAGTGATGGGTAAGAATATAGACCCTGAAGATGAAACATTGAGCTGTAACCAAGAGTGTAGGTGTTTGGGGAATGCCTTGGGATATCACATAATACTGATGATCTAAACGGTAGGGGAAGGATAACCACCACCACCACAACAAGTAGGTAAGCAGCCTGTGTAGAAGAAACAGAAGGTTGGGGTTCCTACAAGGCCAGGGTGGAGAAACTCAGTTAACAGCAGGGTTAACATCAGAAAGAAGGCAGGGGCACTGAAACCATCACTTGCAAGTACCAGCCACTCAAAATCCAAGGCCTAGATGCCGCCCCACATGATGATGAGCACAGAAGGAAAACATACATTCACTCCTCCCATACCACTCAGGTGAAATCACTGATCCAGTAGTCCCAGGCACATCCTGGCAAGTAAGGGCACTGTTACAGAGAGGCTCTAGATCGGGAACCAGCATGAGGATCTGGGCTTAGATCCCCAGACAGCACCCACAACAAACATCCAAACCAAAAAAGCTCCATACAAGTCTGCCATGGATCCTTCTGAAGTGTAATGATGTTATAGCCATTGTGAATTTTGAGCAAAGAACAAAACCAACAAGCTCACTTTTACTGACATACTCCAACGTAAGAGAAAAAAATAAGAGGATTTCCACTTCAGCATTAAGTGTATATTTTGTGCTAGATTACTGAGGTTCTTTTTGTGTTGAGATCTTGCCATTCAGCTAATTCTAATGCTTGATAAGCTCTCTCCATCTTCATGTAAATGTGCTCAGTGACGACAGCCAGTCGAGTGGTATGCTCAGGACGTTTTCTGTTGATGCAATACCTTTCATGTTTTACAGTAAGAGCAGAGGGAAGGAGACCAGATTTCCCAGGCTTGTAATAGGTATGAGAGATGGAGTTCTCACTTGATACTCACAACAGCCCTCTGAAAGTACCATCCCCACATCACCGGAGGGCAGAGAAGGGAGCTAACTACTGTGGGAAGAGCTCGACCATTTTTACTGTAATCTTTAAAATCTCCGGACGGGAGAGAATCGGTCAGAGTGAATCCAGACCAGACTTACAAAACAGTGAACCATACGAAGCTTGTCCTGTCTGTGTCCAGAATAACCTCACAGGT